ATTTAATAATACTATACATAGCACATTTTAATATATTTAATAATACTATACATAGCACATTTTAATATATTTAATAATACTATACATAGCACATTTTAATATATTTAATAATACTATACATAGCACATTTTAATATATTTAATAATACTATACATAGCACATTTTAATATATTTAATAATACTATACATAGCACATTTTAATATATTTAATAATACTATACATAGCACATTTTAATCTATTTTCATTATACATTTCCAATTACCAATTCAATTGATTTGGCCCACAAACTATATTATACAATTTCAAGATCTTTAAGAGGGAAATAAACCTCAGCCTGATTTTGAAATACCAGTTACAATACTATATGGACAGTACTCAAGTCACTAGTAGATTGTAACACTGAGAGAAAACAACAAGGTTTACTTTAAAATTCTGAGCTCAATTTAATAAAAATATGGACTTTAATTAAAGTTGATGCAATGGTAATAAATAAAGCAAGATGTCAAGAGGTCAGCAAGGTTTGTCTTCACCCTACATAATAATTCAGTTTTATAAATAAACTAAAATGTAGCCCACCCCTCACATCTATGCATTAAGTCTCACACATCACTTCAACTTTAGTATTCTTGTACATAAAAAAACAACAAATAATAAAAAACAGGTTAGTAAGGCAAACAACCCTTTTCCTGAACCATACTATGAATTTTTATGTTGAATTCTGAGGGCAGTACGACAAGAAATCATAAGTTTGAGGTCTGGAAAGGTCAGACACATCACTAATTGAGGTAGTTTTCTCTAATAAAGTGATATCTGCAGAACAAATTGCCATTAAGCATGGTACAGATTGATGCAACCTTATAGTTTAAGTCAATGAATATTTGGAAGGTCATAACCAAATTGGGAAGTTTGGAGATAAGGCATCATTAATGGGTCAAAAGGCTCCTTGATGTCCTGTAATTCATAATTCAACATTAACTTTGCAATTTTTTTAAAAACTAAGATGTATCTTAATACCCACTTAACAACATAATTAAACTGATTAGTCTATAGTTCCCTGCTCGTCCAAGTTTAATTTTTAAGCAATCAGATATCACACTAACAATCTAATAATCAATCAAGAGAAATTTCTCATGATCAAAAAGCTGTTGAAAAATAAATTGCCATTCGTCAAATATCTGTCCAACCAACCGTTACTGTGTAGTAATACGATTTATATTACTATCTCAATTTACAAGTTACAGTTACTCAACACTTTAATAACGTCATCAGCAAAATTTAAAAGTTATTTCGCTGCAATTAAATGTCGTTAATGTGAACAAGAAAATAGTGGTTTTAATTCCAAATTAGTTGTTGAGATATATCAATTGATTAATTCTACTCTTACTCTTATTAATATTATTATATTTTTTATACTAACTTTACTCAGTCTTAGAACTTACAACAAAAATGTCAAAACTTACAATATATCCAAATTAGAGCTTAATAATACAACAGTATAGTAACTCTTGTGTATTTACTTGAAAATAAATTTGTGCAAACATGCACTAACACAATAATCACTTACTTATGATAATTTACATTAAAAAACGTACTATTTTTACTACTACTACCAATCTGCTCTATAGCTTAAGTAAAATACCTTCCTCAGTCAATTAAACCACGTTCGGTGCTAAGTTTGATGCAAGATAATCGTCAGGCTATCAGATTGCGACCTCTATGAAGAAACACATTCAATATTTTCATAAAGTACATTATATTTTGAAATTCATACAGCTTCGTGAAATTTAGAATATGAAATGATTAATAATATTTTTTTCATTTGTAACATGGCCTTTCTTTGTAAGTTTGAGGTAAACTTAAAGGAAAAAAATTCTGCCTAACTGAGAGTATATTTTTACGTCATCACTTTACATATCGTTTTCACACTACATTTCTGCCCCCCCCCCCTTAACTCCCTAGTGGCTGAGCAGTACGTCTGAAGGCCAATAAAGTTATAGCTACTTTTGAAACTGACACTTTTCATGATAATCTTTATTTTTCATTGAATAACGTCAGAATGAAAAACACAAGCAAATATATTGGTAAATGGCAACACTTTATTAGTAGAATAACATAATATAGACTTCTCAGAACAGCCTATCCATATTTGTGAATGATGAAAGGAAAGCAGCTAACATTAACAACCATACATTCAATGATAGTACACAACAATGACATAGAAAAATTGAATATGATGACAGTAATAATGATAAATGAGCTAATAAGCTAATACGAAATAATAAAGCTCTAATATTAGAAGATATAACGTTCCTCATTATTTGTTCAATTTTAATACAGTTTTATTTTGTTGTACCATTTCAGTATCATCAGCTTATCAAAATTATTGTTACGTCTGTGATCGTTTGTTAATTTTCCGTAGAAATTATTTCCTAGAAACTTCAGCGATACAAGTCCTTTCTTAAATAAAACTAGTTTATTCTTTCTCAATTCAACTTTGCAATACGCTTAATTTCCTCAGTCACTTTAACTTAAACACACGCTATAATTCACAACGATTCACGCACTTTACTTGGGGTCACTACCACTCACTTGACTTGATTAACTGTGTCTATTATCTTTTATCTCTCTATCTGCTACTCCAGTTCCGATTAATTCTCTCGCTTTATTTGCCGCTCTTATATACAATAAGAGCGCACGTCTAGCAAACTCTAGGACGTTCGACAGGTTCCTCGATCTTTCTAGCACTCCAGCGTATGCTCCCAGCGTCGCGCGACTTCCGCTGTCATAACACTGCCCCTTCCTTAGTATTGTTCGTTCCGAACAATAGCCATTTGCATGAAACCAATAGATAATTAACAATAACTTGATTAAATGTACAGAATTTACAAACACAACATTAAAATTCAACAAAGTCTCTTAATTTTACGGGACGTATCTTCTTCCGTACTGGCCTCCGTCTCGTTGGCTTATCCTTCATGTGGGGTTCATCTGCTTCATCAGGAAACGTTCTATCATTGGTAACAGTCACATAAGTGGTAGTAACTTCATCAAGGGCTTCGCTGTTTCCCTTCTCAAAACCGAGTCGAGTTTCTTCTTCGACAGTGGCGTTTTCAGGTGACACGTCTTCAGCAGCGTCATTTGTTCCGTTGTTCACTTTATCCCAATTGAAATGTCCTGGAACATGATAATGGCAAAGCCTGTTGGCATGCACCACCTTTGGCTTACCTCACAGACCACATTTTATCCATAAAGTCACGTCTGAGAGAAGATCCACTATGTCATATGGACCTTCCCATGGAGAAGAGAACTTAGGAGACTTCCATTTGATCTTCCTGGGACTATACAACCACACCTTGTCTCCTAATACAAAGCTAACTTCAGTAGACTTCTTATCATAACATAGCTTCATCGAATCAGCAGACGTTTTCAAGTTTGAAC